ATGCTGCGGCACTGTGAAGCCACGAGAGGAACATCAACTGGGTCTGGGAATGAAAGTGGAGTTGGCAGCTCCATGAGCGAGGGTTCGTCCCATGAACGAAGTGAGGGTGGCAGCTCCATGAGCGAGGGTTCGTCCCATGAACGAAGTGAGGGTGGCAGCTCCATGAGCGAGGGTTCGTCCCATGAACGAAGTGAGGGTGGCAGCTCCATGAGCGGGGGTTCGTCCCATGAACGAAGTGAGGGTGGCAGCTCCATGAGCGGGGGTTCGTCCCATGAACGAAGTGAGGGTGGCAGCTCCATGAGCGAGGGTTCGTCCCATGAACGAAGTGAGGGTGGCAGCTCCATGAGCGGGGGTTCGTCCCATGAACGAAGTGAGGGTGGCAGCTCCATGAGCGAGGGTTCGTCCCATGAACGAAGTGAGGGTGGCAGCTCCATGAGCGGGGGTTCGTCCCATGAACGAAGTGAGGGTGGCAGCTCCATGAGCGGGGGTTCGTCCCATGAACGAAGTGGGGGTGGCAGCTCCATGAGCGAGGGTTCGTCCCATGAACGAAGTGAGGGTGGCAGCTCCATGAGCGGGGGTTCGTCCCATGAACGAAGTGAGGGTGGCAGCTCCATGAGCGAGGGTTCGTCCCATGAACGAAGTGAGGGTGGCAGCTCCATGAGCGGGGGTTCGTCCCATGAACGAAGTGAGGGTGGCAGCTCCATGAGCGGGGGTTCGTCCCATGAACGAAGTGGGGGTGGCAGCTCCATGAGCGAGGGTTCGTCCCATGAACGAAGTGAGGGTGGCAGCTCCATGAGCGGGGGTTCGTCCCATGAACGAAGTGAGGGTGGCAGCTCCATGAGCGAGGGTTCGTCCCATGAACGAAGTGAGGGTGGCAGCTCCATGAGCGAGGGTTCGTCCCATGAACGAAGTGAGGGTGGCAGCTCCATGAGCGGGGGTTCGTCCCATGAACGAAGTGAGGGTGGCAGCTCCATGAGCGGGGGTTCGTCCCATGAACGAAGTGAGGGTGGCAGCTCCATGAGCGAGGGTTCGTCCCATGAACGAAGTGAGGGTGGCAGCTCCATGAGCGAGGGTTCGTCCCATGAACGAAGTGAGGGTGGCAGCTCCATGAGCGAGGGTTCGTCCCATGAACGAAGTGAGGGTGGCAGCTCCATGAGCGAGGGTTCGTCCCATGAACGAAGTGAGGGTGGAAGCTCCATGAGCGAGGGTTCGTCCCATGAACGAAGTGAGGGTGGCAGCTCCATGAGCGAGGGTTCGTCCCATGAACGAAGTGAGGGTGGCAGCTCCATGAGCGAGGGTTCGTCCCATGAGCGAAGTGAGGGTGGCAGCTCCATGAGCGAGGGTTCGTCCCATGAACGAAGTGAGGGTGGCAGCTCCATGAGCGAGGGTTCGTCCCATGAACGAAGTGAGGGTGGCAGCTGTAGGCATAAAGGTGTGTCGATGTCATTCTACTTCTGGGAATTTGTACTTTTGCGGTAGTTTATTGATTGTGATGCTGTTTTTTTATTTTTTACATTTGTCTCTCTACGCACTCTCTTAATATAAGTTTTTTGGCGGTATTGCACCTGCTTTTTTTTTTTTTTAACGTTTGTCCATTCTTTAAATTATGAAGACGATTTTTGGTGTAATTAAATGCCTTCTCTGCTGGAGACCAGCACAGCGGTGCTTTATTTTGTACGTTTTGTTTTTTTTAGGAGTAAAGGGGTCTGCTGGCTGTTTCCGTCTGATTTTTTTGATTTTTGAGGTATTTTGTACCACGCCGACGGATGCCGATGGAAATAATATGGAATTGATCAGTAGAGGAACGAATGGAGTGTCACGGTGTAATATAAACGGTGCGTGGACACAGTGGGCTTAATCGGCTGAAACAAATAGAGACATGTTTCTGCTGGCAAACTTGACACAGAAGCGTGGGATGCCTCTCTGTGATCCTTTGCGATAAGATTTGTTTTCCCTTCTTTTTTTTTTTTGGTTATTTCGTGAAAATTTTGTAAAAGGACGGGTTCTGATGGTTGAGAAATAAATGTTCCGCGATTTTTGAGTTTTGTGGCTGCGGTGCACTCCCGAGTTGGGCCTGTTCTTATTTTTTCTTTGTCTTACGCCCGTGCTGTGTTGGTGTTTCTCTTCGGTTGCCTGATTCTTCTCGTTTTCTTTTCTTTTCTTTTTCTTTGCGCACCTACATGCACACGTGGCCCCACGCAGACGATATTTATGACGTGACGATGCACCTGGATGGCCCCTTCTTATTCCCTGCTGGCCTTTGCGTGTCGCTGCTGCTGTGTCCGAACTAGGAGGAGGAAGGACACACGGATAGTACGGTGTGCTTCTTTTTCCCTCTGGGTGTAGGGTACCGCGTGTGTCCGTTTGGAGTGAGGCGCCGCATCCCACTGAGGGCGGGACAGCAGTAAATTTTGTCACCGCGTCGTGGATGGGTGGGGAATCGCTTCCGCGTGCGGCTCTTTGGGTGTTTGCTTGCTCCGTGTGCGATATTTGTTTGCTGCGGGCTGTGGCCGTATCCAGTTGGCTGTGGGATTGAACTGGAGGCGGTGGCGGTGTGTCTCTTTTTGTCGCCCATTGTGGGTGAGTGCGGGCGGCGCGCGCGTGTGTTGTGTGGAGGACCAAATCTCCTCACGCGCGGTCAGGCAGCACTGCGATGGTGTGTGTTTGTGTTAGGGCTGGTGTGGGCGATGGTCCTCCGTGCTGTTCCTTCCGGATTTTCTCGTGCCCCGCTCTCTGCGTGGGTGCTCTGCTCCCACTGAATTGTCTGATGTATTGCCGTTTTTGTTGTCTTTCTGCCGCTGCTGCCTTCTCTACCTCTTGAACACAGACACGTTAGGAAAGAAGGAAAGCAAGCGCTAAACGCTACTGCGAAATTCGAAGGCTCTGAAAGGACCAGCAGCACACACACCGCCCACACACATATATGCTCTCACGTGTTGCTGCGGTGAAGGCACCCCGCACACACAACCGTCGCCGCGTGACCGGATTTGGCGGAAGGAGGAGGGAAGGAAGAGAGAGTGAGCCGCATAGGCCCAACATGTCGCGGCGTGTGTTTACTTCCGCGGTGCTGCTCCTCCTCCTTTTCGTGATGATGTGCTGCGGTGGAGCTGCGACCGCTGTTGTGGAGAGTAATGCTGATGCTTCAAATTCTGGGTCGGCAGTGACGGGTGACATTACTGCAGAGGGGAGCACTTCAGGGGGTTTTGAGGAGCTGCAACGGGTCGATCTATTTGCGCCGCAGACGACGCAGGTGCAGCCGAAGACGGGGACTGACTCAGGTCGGAGGGATTCATTTGTTTCACCCTCTCTCGTCAGTGCTGGTGGAGTAATTGCTGCTTTTGCCGAAGGTCACATGAATGCCAAAAAACCCCATACCGAATCAACTAAGCCGTCTTCTGATGTTGTTGCGGGGTACATCGACTCTGCGTGGGAATGGCCCACTGTTGTTGATGAGGTCAATAAAGAAACATGGCGGGCACACACCGTGCTTGGTAAAGCGGAGGGAGAGGGTAGCTTGGATGTTGTGCGCCACCCCACAACAGCCATGAAGGGCAATAAGGTGTTTCTTCTTGTGGGAAGCACTGCCTTGTCCTATGTAAATGGGAGTTGGAAAGAGGGCAGCTTGGAACTAAAACTGGTTGTTGGTGAGGTCACGAAGCCTTCGGGCGGCGAGCCAAGTGGATGGATCGAATGGGGCGACCCCAAACCACTTCCGAAACTGATCTCTTCTGCTTCTCACAAAGGTAACTTGACGGATTATATTGCTTCTGGTGGCTCAGGTATTCTGATGGAGGATGGCACCATTGTGTTTTCTCTGATGGCGGTGAATAAAGAAAATGAAGTTGAAGTTTACTCCATGATTATTTACTCGAAGAACAACGGCAGTACCTGGTCGCTCTCTAAGGGCATTTCCCCTGCGAAATGCGGTGCACCCCGCATCACCGAGTGGGAGGGATCACTTCTCATGATTGTTGATTGCGAGAACGACCAGAGGGTGTACGAGTCGTGTGACGTGGGGACAAAGTGGACGGAGGCTGTCGGGACGCTTCCAGGCGTGTGGGTCAACTCACAATCGGAAGACTATCCGGAAGGAGGCTTGCATGTGGATGCTCTCATCACCGCGACCATTGGGAAAAGGAAGGTCATGCTGTACACACAGAGAGGGTACGCCATCGAGGGGGAAACGGAAAACGCCAATCCGCTCTACCTTTGGGTGACGGACAACAACCGCTCGTTTTTTGTTGGACCGGTTGGCATGGGCAATGCTGGGGAGAAGGAGGTCGCCAGCACCCTGCTGTACTCGGATGGCAAGTTGCATCTTTTACAACGGAGGGGCAACGGTGAACACAGTGTCGTTTCACTTTCCCGCCTGACGGAGGAACTGAAGGAAATCGAGTCCGTCCTCAGTACTTGGGCGCAAAAGGACGTTTTCTTTTCCAGCTTGTCTATACCCACGGCGGGTCTGGTGGCAGTTTTTTCAAACGCATCGGCCAACAACGAAACATGGAACGACGAGTACCTTTGCCTGAATGCAACGGTGACGAACGCAAAGAAGGTCAAAGATGGGTTTCAGTTGACGGAGCCTAACTCCGGGGTACTATGGTTTGTGAATACTCGGGATGATAATGTGCGCCATGTATCTTTGAGCCACAACTTCACGCTTGTGGCGTCGGTGACTATCGAAGAGGCTCCGACTGCGGACGCTCCTCTACTGACTGCGGTGTTGCTTGACGCTGGGCCCCCGTATATCATGAGACTGTCGTACACCGCGGATAACAAGTGGGAGACGATGCCCAAGGGCGAGACAAAACCAACAACGGAAAGCAGGCCTTGGGTGCCGAAGAAAGAACACCAAGTGGCCCTCATGCTGCAAGGCAATAAGGCCTCTGTGTACATTGATGATCATTCGCTGGGGGAGGAAGAAGCGCCGTTAACAGGTGAGAAGCCACTTGAGCTTTTTGGGTTTTGCTTTGGCGCGTGCGACTTTGATGGTGATAATGATGGTGAAGAGGAGGACAGTCAGAAGGAGGCCAGTCAGAAGGAGATTGGCAAAAAGCCTCGTGTGACGGTGACGAACGTCTTTCTGTACAACCGCCCACTGAATTCCACTGAGATGCGTGCAATCAAGGACAGGATCCCCGTTTCGACGAGAGCTCCAGAACCACAAGTGAAAATTGCTCCCAAACCTGTCGCACCTGCTGCACCTGCGGTGCCTGGCCCAGGGGAACTACCAGCAGCACCGGGGAGGACAACTGTGGGGAGAACCGCCAATACCCAACATGCGCCAGCGGGACGCTTGACTTCTGCTGGAAATGAAGGGACGGCACGAGAAAAGGGTGATGGTGGGGCAAATGGTGATGCTGGTTCCGCGTACGGGAGGGAACTGCTGCCGCTGCTGCTTCTGCTTGGACTGTGGGGCTTTGCGACTGCTTGAGGATTGTGCGGCCTCAGTGTGGGACACTTGCGCTCTCCCTCACACCGACGCACATCCGGTAATGAATTACTCTCCGCAATTCTGTTTTTTTTTTTCTCTCCCCCTTTCTTTGCTTGTTGCCTTGGGGCAACCAATATGAACGTTTTTTTTTTTTTAATGGTTTAATTTGTCTAAATTTTTAATTTTTATTTTTCATCCCCCATCCCTTTCTTTTCTGCTTTTGGGGGCAATCACTATGGACGTTTTTTTCTTTTCTACTCTTCCCTCTTTAATTGTTTTTTCTGCACTCTTCCTGCGAGGGGTGCCGTGTGTTTCCGCCCAACTGCTCCACTCGCACACCCACCGACACGCTCATGACGACGGTCCTGTGCGCCTCGCCTGCTGCACGCATGAGGAGGGACCGCGACGAACGGCGCGCTGAGGGAGCCGTGACGTGTGGGCGTGCGACGAGGGCCTGTGGGGCGGAGCACACATTTCTTCCCTCTTGTTTTGTTTTGTTTGCGGCCAGGGCGGGCAGACACCCGCAGCGCCACACACACAGCCACACCCTGCCGCTTTTAAAAAGGAATTTTTGCTTGCTCTCTTTGACTTTCTCACTGTGTTTTTTTTTGCTGCGCTCACTCTCCCGATGGAGTGACGCGACTCCCGTCATGTCTGCGTGCTTCTCTCAGTCCCCACACATACACGAGTGACTGTGCTCTGCGGGCCGCACTCACGCGCCGATGGGAGGGCTGAGGGGAGCAGCAACACGCAGATGACCCCATGAAATATAAACGATGTGCGGACACACGGAGGGTCGGACGGTTGAAAGACATTTAAATATCTAATTTTTAATGTGCGGGCAAAATATACAGACAGTTTGGTGGGCGCACACAGTAGCCAGTGAATTTTTGTGTGATGGGGTTTTCTTTTCTTTTTTCTTATTTGTGTGTAGCCGTAATAGAGGACGACTTTTTTCAATTTTTTTTTTTTAATTATCTTTTTTATTTTTCTTTTTTTTTCTTTTCTTGTTTTCTTTTTTCTTTCCAGAGCGTGAGGTGTGGAA